ATCGTAAATTGTGAAGTAGATAAATTACCAAGATATGTTAAGAGTGATCCTGCGAGGTTATTTACTAATAATATACTTTATACTGTATTATAAATGTGTAAAGAATAGAATTCTTACTTTTCTTTTACATATTAAATAGGCTGAAACAAGTTTTATCTCATTTATTAGCAAATGCGTAAATATATTTACTTATTTTTTTATTACTTTTTTATAAGCTACTTATTGTATAACACATAATCATTTCTTAGAATTAAATTTACCGAACGAGGTGAGATTGTGCTGACAATTTCGATGCAATCACAGAAAACCATTGCCGAAAACGAAAGGAATCCTACTCATGGTCTAGTGGTTAAAAAAGGAAATTTGTTGATTGAATTACATGATACTGGTATTGGGTAAGATATTTATGATTATAAGCTTATGATTGCTTATAATTTATATTTTTGAATATTTTCGAATATTTTCAAACATTCTAAGTCAATAATTTAATAAAAATAGTATGAATCCTGAATATATACAACATGCTTGGAAAAGCTTTTCACAAGGTGACATGTCAATAACCAAGAAGCAAGAAGGCACAGGACTTGGTCTTTCGATTTGTAAAAATTTAGTAGAAGTTAATGGAGGAGAAATTAGAGCAGAAAGTAAATTAGGAAAAGGAAGTAAATTTTGGTTTACGTGGAATGTCGAGTTATTATCAACTATATCAACTATTTCAAAATTTCCATCGCTTTCGTTATTAGAGTCACAATTTAATAAACAAATAAGATATGTATTACCTCACACTATAAGAAGGAAACGAATACTAATAATTCATCCAGTTGAAAGTGTGAGAAACTCTATATTGAAATATCTTAAAAGAATTGAAAAAGTTGATGCATTCGATACCTTTGACAAAGGTATTAGAGCAGCAAAAATGTTTAAAGAATTGAATGGTCGATCTGCTTATGATGTAGTATTCATAAGTCTTTATGAAGATAACAAAGAAGAGGTTATGAAAGCAGTATTAGAATTAAAAGGATTAGAAATGAATAATAATAATTTGGTAATAATTTTTATAGTATTTTCGGGCATTGAAGGAAAAACATTAGCAGAAAATGTGATTGAAAAAATTGAAGGAACAATTTCGGTTATTTATACTCCAATTACTTGGAAAAAGTTGATTAATCAATTTATGCTTATGGAAAGAGACGATACTACTGATGAAGATAATAAGAGTTTTCACGTCATTGAAAGTGTTTTAAAGCGGATACCAGATCATAAACCTCATGTTATTGAAGATGTAAATCAAGATATATATAGCAACAAAGTTTTGAGAGATTCTAAAAGTAGAACAAGAAATGTTACTAAAAGCAAATGTATTTTATGTGTGGTATGATTTAGTTTCTTTTTATTTGTGTTGTATCATGTATACTTGCCAACATACTGAATTTCTTTAATCGGTCGGTTAACGTGATTTATAGGACGATAATTCTATTAGCCTAAAGGTAATTATATATTTATTAATATTTATTTTATCAATTTCCTAAACTATTTTTATTTTTAGAACACATTGCAGCAAATTTCAAATCTTGGTTATTCAACAATCTCTGCAACAAATGGTCAGGAAGCGGTTAAATTGATTGATTCGGAGTTTAAATTATTAAATAATGTATATTCAAGTTTATCAAGTTCAGATATAGATCAAATAAATTCCCGCAGAATTTCGTTAATTTTAACTGAATGTAATTTAGTAAGTTTTTTCTCTGAATTCATTTTTTGTTACTTGTTATGACAAATCAATAATGGTAATCGATTAATTATTTATTATACTTAGCCAATAATGACAGGCTTTGGTATTTCACAAGCAATTAGGGCAATGGGACCGCCAGTTTCAAATATACCAATTATTGCCTTGACTGCTTTACCCATAGAAGAAATACAAAATAAATGTATCGAGTCAGGGATAAACGGTTATCTAGCAAAACCTCTAAAAAGCGAAGAACTTGAAAAGGTTTTAACTAAATGGATTGTTGAGAATTAGAATTAATCACGTCATGAATTGCGCCTTTATATATATTTATATGTTTCAAGTCTAAATTATACTTTATCGAGATTCTTTTCATATTTTATGTTTCATTTTTATATATGAATAATTACTTTTATAGTTATATTGAAAGTTCTTTAAGTTTTAAACTGATATCAGATATTATTTTCTGTATTTTATAACGTTTTTATGAAAATTTTCGTTTTTAAAAACCCCTTTACAATTCTGATATATTAAATAAAATTTACGAGTTTATTAAAACACATTGATGTTTACAATATAGTTGCTACCGTAATGGCGCGTAATAACGCACATGCGCGTTATTTCGAAACACGCCTTTTTTTGAAAATTTCATTTTTTGACTCGAAATAACGCACATGCGCGTCCCGAAATAACGTGCCCCCTTATATAAGTAGATCATATACAGAATTGGCCGATCCATGCGCGTCCCGAAATAACGCGCAGGGCCTCGAAATAAAGCGCATCTGCGCGTTATTACGCGCCATTACGATATATCTTGTCTAAGTCAAGTAAATTTTGGTAACTATGTCTTTAAACATCAAAAAAATATTTGAAAGGGTTTTGATCATAATAAAAGTTTTATATACAAAAACCTCTTGAGCTCTTAACTAAGAGTTATAAAGAGTGTAATATAAAGAGTGTAATTTATTGTTATAAAAAAATAAATACCTTCGGAAAGTGTTGTACGTTTTGACTGTTTCAAGCCTTTTTTGCTATGTTCCAAGTCTGAATAATTAACAAATTAGGGAAATTTACATATAAGGGCCCGAAAAATACAAATAAGGGCCCAAAGTGGAAATAATTACATATAAGGGCCCAAATTTTGAAAAAATTTACAATTAAGGGCCAAGCGTTATGATGATAATAATTCGTGTCATCATTATGGTACAAACTCTACATTCAATGCAGCTGTGTTTTTTGGTCGAATTTCTAGCGATTTATTGAAATCTGCAAGTGATTCTTTATATCTACTCATCATAAAATAAGTAATTCCACGATCTTTTAATGCGCTTTGCAAAAAGATGTGACATGTGATTTTAGTGACGATGATGGCTGAGAATCACTAAGATTCCAGATTTTCTGTTACTTTATATTTTCGATTGGTTACGTTTATATTTCTTTGAAATCAGTTTAATTCTTAAACTCTCAAAAAATCTATAAAATCTCCGATTCTCACGTTAAAAAATGATCTGTAGTGTTCACATCTTTTTGCAAAGCGCAATAATTTGTTCAATTTCTAACAATCTGTTTAAATCCTCAAGTGATTCTCCATATCTATTTATTATGCGATAAATTTTACCACGATTTTGTCTCTCATTGACGGGTGTTACAAATAGAAAAACAAACCAAGAAAAGAAAAAACACGAAGAAAAACAATTATGGGTTATCTGTCCCTTCCGCTTTTGTGCTATGATGTACATACTAAAAGTGCAGAATTAGAGAACTATGCTACTATGTATATATGCTACTATGGGGCAACTTTGGCGAACAGGGCAAAAAAAAACCAGACTTTTCCTGGAAAAAACCCTGCTGCAACCAAAGGGAAACCTTGTGACTGTCGTCCCGACAGGCCACTTCCTACCCCAAATTCAAAACTCAAAAAGTGACTGTCGTCTCGACAGGCCACTTTCCACTACAACTCATACTCAAAATGGGACTGTCGTCCTGACAGGCCACTTTCCACTAAAACTTATACTCCTGTACTCAAAAATGTGACTGTCGTCCCGACAGGCCACCTACAAAACTCAAAAAGTAACTGTTATCCCAACAGGCCACCTTCTACCAAAAGCTTTAAACAGCTAAGCAACAGTTACCATCCTCAATAGACCAAGCTTTAATAAACAATGCTAGGGTGGGGCGAAAAAACCAGACAAAGTCGAGTTAGCAGAAAAAACAGAAATTACCTTTCCTGGGTAAAAACCCGTTTCCCTTAAATACTAATCAAAAAAAAAAAAAAAAAAAAAATACGTCAATTTCAGATCAAACAATGCATCAGGAATAAATCATAACAATAAGCTCATAACAACATCATACGATAGATCAGACAATGCATCAGACAATCAACCCGTGACTGATTCGAGACAAAAGGCTGCTCCGATACTTTAGTATCGGGCAGCTCATAATTCAATGCCAATGCGTGATTTGGTTCAATTTCTAATGGTCTATTGAAATCCACAAGCGATTATTCTCATAAAATGAGGTATTCCGCGACTTCTCAATGCTTCTGCATTATTTGACTTAATCTCTAATGTTTTATTCAAGTCAGCAAGCGATTCATATCTTTTCATCATATGATAGGTTATTCCACGACTACTTAATGCAAATGCATTATTTGGTTCAATTTCTAACGATTTATTTAAATCTGCAAATGATTTTTCATATCTGCTTATCATACAATAAGCTGCACCTCGATATCTTAACGTAAGTGCATCATTTGACTTGAGTTTTAGCGAATTATTCAGATCGGAAAGTGACTCTTCATATCTTTTCATCATGTAATAAGTTACGCCACGATTGCTTAATACAATTGCACTATCCTGTTCAATCTCTAATGATTTATTTAAATCCATGAGTGATTCATCATATCTGCTTATATTGTAATAAGTTGCACCGCGACAAATGCATCATTTGGCTTAATTTCTAGTGATTTATTAAGTCCATAAGTGATTTTCTATAACTTTTCATCATATAATAAGTTGCACCACGATATCTCAAAGCAATTTCATCATCTGACTTAATTTCTAGCGATTTATTTAAATCCGCGAGTGATTCTTTATATCTGTTTATCATAAGATAAACTTCACTACAATTCAATGCATCTATATTATCTGATTTAATATTTAATGATTGATTTAGATCTTTAAGTGCCTCATCATATCTATTCAGCATTTTAAATACATAACTTCTATAAATATAAGCTAAATGTTTGATGGTTTTAATTGAATTGCTATATCTAAATCATCGTTAGCTTTCGAATACATTTTAAGTTTATAAGATGTGAATGCTCTTCTACGTCAAATTGAATAACTTTTTGTATAACTTGGGTTAGCCACAGTATAACTGCTTCATAGTCTTCTTGTTGTTCTGCTTTAGCTGCCTATTAAAAGCGGGTAACATAACTTTAGGTTGAATCTTTGAAAAATTGATGTGGACAATTTTGATGACAGAGAATTTTGAAATATTTTATACTCATTAAATTTTAAAAATAAATCATCTTCTACTGTATAAATTTGATTCAGCGACATTTGTCGCTCTTCAGATGATTTATCGAAGTAACCTGCTTGTTCTAATTTCTCATATAGATTTCTAATATTTTATTTTTTGGAAGGTTATAGGTTTATTCTAATTCATCTATTTTCAATAATTATTGTTTCTTTCCATTTACTAATAATAGAATGTCCACATGTTAAAATTAAAAAATCCCCCGTTATTTGTCTAGTAATTGGACAAGTAAGTTCATCCGCAATTATGTCCAATATTAATTTTCTATCGCCTTTAATTTCTAATTTTTCTTTAATACTCGTAAAACTTAATTGTTCCATAAATTGGACATTTAGTTGAAGTTTTTGAGTTACATCATGAATAAATCCTTCAAAAATTTGGTAGAAGTTGCTGGTAATGATTCTTTGTATTTGTTGATTTCATCATGTACTATATCTTCAAACAATTCAGGTTTTTACAAGATAATGATAAAAGTAATTCTAATGATTTAAAACAAATATAGTTACATTTAGATTTTTGTACAGATTCTAAACCTAAATAATAACAAAGAGTTAAACTAACAAGTTTAAGATATCTTTTGGCTTAAGCTTTGAGTAAGATCTAAAACTCCAAACCATAAAGAATTTGGAGCTATTGGTTCTTTCTTTGTCCATAAACTTAGGAATTCAAGAACTTCGGTTTGATTATTCAGAATTTCCTTTTGAGACATTTGATTAATACTTAAGTCGAAAACATATTGCCAAAGTAATTTTAAAAGATATGCTTCATTATAGAATCGCAAAGTATTATAAAACTTATCTTTGGTTAAATTCTCTAATGAATAATGAATTGATAAAAGTTCACGCCACTTTGGATACCAGTAAGTGACAGGATATTTAAAATTAAGGGCTTTGGTGATATTTTATAAGGTAGTTTCGGAATCACCAACTAAATTTGAAATATTTCCTGAAGTAGCACTAGCAGTTTTAGGACAAATGCTAAAAGAAAATCTCTAACACGTCGTAAAATTGTGTTTCATCATCACGCATACTGTGTAAAGTATTACGTAAGTGAACCAATAAAAAATTAACGGCATAATTTTGAAAATGCATATAAATATTATTGTTGTTGATTATTTCTTTAGATTTCCTTTCGGCTTAAAACTGTTTCCAATACCTTGTTTAAAGGCGTTTATTGTTCTATGATTAAATCGACAAATAGCTTAAATTTTTATAAAGCTGCTCACGAATTCACATCCTAAAATGATGGAGGAATAGTATACTCCTTCTAAGGTTGCCATCCAAGTTCGAAAGACGTATAATAGTGTCTTCTGAGTGATATTGAAAGAAGATGCATTGCCAAGTAATTCAAGTGCTTGAGTCAATATTCTTTCTGCAATTTTATTTGAATCCGATTAAATTAGCCAATTTAGTGAAATCTTTCATGAATTCAGCTTCGTCTACCGTATAAGCGCGTAATAACGCACATGGGCGTTATTTCGAAATTTCAATTTTTTAAAAATGGCATATTTGACTCAAAATAACGCCCATGCGTGTCTCAAAATAACGCGTACCAAATTATCTTCTTCACGTGCTATTTTGAATCTTCGAATAAGTTTGAATATAATAAGCTTAGGTTCACCTCTAAATCTGAAACCTATTTATCATAAGATTAAACAATGCATCTATAATTTATTTATTATGATGTTTCAAGAAAGTTCTTAGTAGCTGAAATTATTTTTCCAAAATTTGCATAGTGATTCGAATTATCGCGCATGCGCGTCCCGAAATAACGCACAAGGGCTCGAAATAACGCGCCCTGCGCGTTATTACGCGCTTATACGGTATAGTATTTTAATCGTTTTTAATGTCTGAGTTAAAAATGTTCACGTGTCCTAAAGACTAAAATAAATTTATATAAGAATTTGTCATAATTTAACACGATCGAGAATATGACATTTTTGAAATATTGTAAAAGTTTGTTATATATATATATATATATATATATATATATATATTTCCGAAATTGAAATAATTTCGCGCGATTTTTTTTAATTCTTTATTTTATATTTTTCGAAGTTGAATAATTCGCTTTTTAAGCACTTGTGGCTCTAAAAAAGTTTGGCTTTTTATCGTTTTGTATAAAATATTCTGAATGGAACCTTTATTCAATTATTATACAATGCCGTACAGTTCATACTAGTTTTATATTAAAGACACATGAGAGCCCACATTCTAAATATTAAAATTTATCAATAAAATCAGTAAATTTTTCTTATGGACGGTGTTTGTTTATATCAAAATATTATGATATTATAAATGTCGAATAGACTCCCAACACAACATAAGTTTTAGTAAAGAGAAAATTCTTTTGATGTGCTCGGACCAGGCATATTATAATCTCTTTCCATTATTGTCATATTAATAAAATTCGTTTATATAATGCGTAGAGGAATTAACTCTGATCTAATTCAACTTTTCCTATTATGTTAATTTGTTGTATCCACAGAGGTTGGAGAGTATAACGACCACCGCACAATGACGACCACGGAAATATCGATTATTTTACAAAATGAAGGTCTAACTTATGAATAACAATTTACCCAAATATATTTTTTTTACAATCTTTTTAGGAGCTCGCGTAACTTATCACGAAATTCCATACTGTTGTGTTTAGAGTTCCTGGTGAAACTGGTGACTATCTAATCTGATTGGCTATTTACTATATTACCAATCTGATTTTAGATAGTCATCATTTTCACCAGCAACTCTAGTTGTGTTACTATCTATAAATATAATTAATTGGCAATTTAACAAAGATAGCCCGAATTAAAAGTGCTGGTTTAAATATAAAGATTTTTATGTTCGCTTTATGAAAAAAAGTTGAAGTTCAAACAAATGCAGTATGTAATGCATAATATATATATCTTTATTTATTTACTTTTTTTTTTTAGGTCTGCACATAGTTTTAAAATAGGATGAAAATACACGTGTGAAATTATAAAAGCATTATAATGAAATAATGATTGTAAGATAAAAGGTTATATAGGTTTTTAAGTCCTAGATTATGCGTACTTGTTATTGGTTAGGTTGTGGATGATATCTGATTTATCGCTAGGTTACTATATAAATCACGTGGCTTTGCCACGTCATTTATATTGTTCACTACGAATAATCAGTTTTCATTAACACTCAGAAGCGATCGTTGGTCATAGGCAGAAATTCACCTGATTGGCCAATTTTAGTAAATCATCTGTAGATCATTTTTTAATTATTGCAATTTAATTGGTTGATTTCATGATTATTAACGTTCTTAATCAGTGTTGCCACTGGAACTCTGGAGTTCCACTGGAAGACTAATTTTTTCCAGTCTTCCAGTGGTTCCAGTGAGGTTT